GAGAGAGGGAGAGAGGGAGAGAGGGAGAGAGGGAGAGAGGGAGAGATCAGAGACAGAAGTGTATGTGTGTTATTTGTACTGTGGTTTGAATTCAGGCCTCATACTTGCTACACAGGTGTTCTAACACCTGAGCTACACCCCAGGTCATTTGTGCATTAGTTATTTTTGGATAAGGTTTCATGATTTGCCTAGGATCAGGCTCATACTGAAATCCTCCTCTCTATAGCCTCCCATATTCTTGGGTCCATAGACACATGCCACCATACCCAGATTATTGGGTGAGATGGGGGTCTTACTATTTGCATAGACTACCCTTAAATATTAATGCACCCAATTGCTGCCCCGTGAGTATCTGGGATTATAGGCATAAACCATAGGATCCTATCATGCCCTTAAAATGTTTAATAGAGATTTAAATATTCCAGGTGACTCTACCCTCACATTTCTGGAGAAAATCACAGAGACAGGAGCTGTACATTAAAACAGTAATAATCCACACTGCATATGGTGGGAACTTTCAGAAGAAGGAAATTATATGATCAAATATAAATGGTGATTGGGGTAGCTAATACTCAAAGAGTTTAAGTTACTTTCATGTTAATTTACTATTATAAGTGCACACAGTAAAGTCAGAAGGAAAAGAGAGATCCAAACAATGTGGGGTTAATTCTCATATGCTCCTTTCTATGAGCTAAATTAGAAAAGTCTTGTTTCTGGTTTTTTGGTTTAAGGGTTTTTGCTGGTCCTAGAGCTTGTACTCTGGGCCTGGACACTGTCCCTGAGTTTCTCTGGCTTAAGGCTAGTGCTCTACCACTTGAATCACACCACCACTTACAGCTTTTTCTGAGTAGTTTATTGGAGATAAGAGTCACATGGACTTTGCTACCCTAGCTGGCTGCTCAGGTCTCAGCCTCTTGAATAGCTAGATTACAGGCATGAGCCACTGACTGGCACCCAGATAGCCCCAGACAGCAAAGCCTTGTTTCTTTTTTTTTCTTTTTTCTTTTTTTTTCTTTTTTGGGTCCGGTCATGGGGCCTGAACTCTGGGCCTGGGCGCTGTCCCTCAGCTCTTCAGCTCAAGGCTAGCACTCTACCACTTGAGCCACAGTGCCACTTCTGGCTTTTTTCTTTTTGCTTATGTGGTGCTGAGGAATCGAACCCAGGGCCTCATGCATGCAAGGCAAGCGCTCTACCACTGAGCCACCTTCCCAGCCCAGCAAAGCCTTGTTTCTACCCAGAAGTTCTCTAAACAAGTATCAGGGAGGACAGATTGAACATCTCTTAGTAAAAATGTGTATGTCAAGTTTCATATTCTAAATTTTGGAATACCTGCACAAACATAAGGAATCATCTTTGGGATGAGGCCTGAGTCAAAGCATGCTTAGCTTCAGACACTCCTTATATCCATAGCCTAGAGGAGTGTTTTTGCACAATACTTGAAGTGCATTTGTGCTTGGCTGTGCTTCACATGAGACCAGCTGCAAGATTTTTCATGTGTCATCATGTTTACATTTAGTTTGGAATTTTGGAGCATTTCAGAATTTGGATTACACACACACACATATGTGTGTGTATGTATATATATACACATATGTTTTCATTCCTCTAAACGTGAGACTTACAGCTTGCTTTCCTTTGCCTGTAAAAAGTATTGCTGAGGGGCTGGGAAGGTGGCTCAGTGGTAGAGCGCTTGCCTTGCATGCTCAAGGCCCTGGGTTCGATTCCTCAGCACCACATAAGTAAAAAGAAAAGAGCCGGAAATGGCACTGTGGCTCAAGTGGTAGAGCGCTAGCCTTGAGCTGAAGAGCTGAGGGACAGCGCCCAGGCCCAGAGTTCAGGCCCCATGACCGGACCCCCCCCCAAAAAAAAAAGTATTGCTGAGACACCTTTCATCATATGTGCCTACTTAAAAGCTACAGAGGTTGGATGAAGGCTACACTCACAATGCATGCCACTAGAAGTCAGCATGAGGGGTGAAGTTGATAGAAATTCGGGAGCCTACAATGTAAAAGAATTGAGTGTGGAATCCTTTCACCACCAAAGGAAAACTATATAGACTTGAAATACAAGCATCAAAATCAGCTCTAGGCCTGGGAAGGTGGCTCAGCGGTAGAGTGCTTGCTTTGCATGCATGAGGCCCTGGGCTCAATTCCTCAGCACCACATAAGCAGAAAAAATCGGAAGTGCTCTGTGGTTCAAGTGGTAGAGTACTAGCCTTGAACTGAAGACAACGCCCAGGCCCACAGTCCAGGCCCCATGACTGACAAAAAAAAAAAGAAAAGAAAGAAAAAGAAAAAAAAAATCAGCTCTAGGTCTGGCACAAATGCCTGTCACCCTCACTATGATGAGAAGCCAATAGGAGGATCACAGTTCCTGACATACGCCTGGGTAGGAATCAAGATTCTCTCTCTCAAAAATAACCAGTAAAAAAAATAATCAGGGGACTAGAGGAATGAGTTATCAGCAGAAACCCTGGCTACAAATCACAAGGGCCTGAGTTCAAACCCCAGACACAGATACAGACAGACACAGACACACAAACAATCAGCTCTAGAGAGAAAGAACATATAACGTCAGCTCCAGAGGCTGTGAAGTGGGTACTGAATCCAAAGCAAGGAAATGGTTAAAGGGGGACATTTAGCAGCCAGGGACCAGGCAACCTCAGCTGAGCCAAGGCTCTGAAACTTTCTAACATCCTACCCTGAATCTGAGGTGTCATAGGTTTTGATTGTGCCCATCAAGGGCATTGCTTTCTCTAGAAATCAAAGAAGAGAGTGAAGTAAAACTGGCCAGCCTTGCACTATAAAATACAAGATAGAATGAAAGCAAGAACACATACTTTGTACCAGTGAAAGTACCCATACTCTACTACAAAGGTACTTTATATGTAAGGGCAGCTTTCCTGATAGTCACTGTCCTATGAAATATAAGGTGGAGAGTAACCTGAGTTGCTGGGGAAGGAAGAGGGGACACCAATTGAAAGGAGAGAGAAGCGAAAATGTCACCCTTTCCCTCCAATGCAGGCATGAATAATGCTACCTGTGAATAAGTAGCATAAGCAAACTTCTTGTACCTGAACTGTGCAGATTCTAATATTCCTTCTTCCGACACTGACATGAGAGCCCTTAAACCTACTGGCAATGAGGCCCGATTATAAGATCTCTCCATTTGCAAGTTGGGATCTTATAGGAGAAGTTGGAAGTTAGCATCTTCAGCTTTAAGAACTCCTTTGAGCAACAAGAGCTAAGTCTAACCTAACTATGTAATCTGTGGGTTTCTTTGTATACCACCCCCATGATGCCCCAAAGACAAACATACCTCATGCTCATCCGCAAAAGCAGCAATGCACGGAAATGAATAGACCCTGCAAAAACACCTCACAATTAAAGAATAAAACTAGGAGTGAACCCCATAGACAACCTACAGACCTTCTTGTGGCCAGAATCTATAATTAAGGGTATGCCAGTAAGTCTCCTTATTCAGAGTGGGGATGGGGGAGTTGACCCCTGGAAATGGGGAACATCTCTGAGATACCAAATCTCCATCTGGTAGTCTATTGGCCAAGTTTACCAGCACTAAAAATTTCTCAGCCAAACTACTTGGCAAGATTTCTGAAGAAAAGAATGCATTTAACAAATACCATTTCATCAAGGACTTATCTGTCTTTTATATGTCTATCAACATTAACCTCAAGTGACATTGTTCTTCATAAAATCTATAGACCCACTGAAGGCTTCTAGAATTAAATTTTTACCATATCTTATATAAATATGCTCCAGATAATTTTTTTTTCAGTCATGGGACTTAGATTCAGGGCCTGGGCGGTGTCCCTGAGCTTTTCATGCAAGACAAGTAGTGTTCTACCACTTCAAGCCACAGTTCCACTCCGGTTTTCTGGTGGTTAATTGGAGATAAGAGTCTCATGGGCTTTCTTGCCTGGGCTAGCTTCGAAATGTGATTCTCAGATCTCAGCTTCCTGAGTAGCTAGGATTACAAGTGTGAGTCACTGATGCCTAGCTTCCAGATAATTTTAAAACACAATAGAACAAGTCACCAGGCAGAATGGTCTGATCTCTTGAGGTAGCTAATCAATGAACCCTTAGTGGTCTCTCATTATTGGTCTTCCCCAATGTGAAACACATCCTGGTTGTTCTAAAATATTGCACATTTTTAGGATACAGATAGTCAACAAAATAATGTCCAGAGAGACATCTTACCTTCTTTGGTCACCAAGTTTGTTGTTTAAGTGATTCAGAAACTGTCGAACATCCTTCAAGGTAAATATACAAACGATTTTTATTTGAAAAATTAAGATGTGTTAATAGTACTCTAACTACCACATGCAGTCCAGTACTTACTTCTAAATGTCCAGGATCCAATAAGGGTTTTCTTTTTTTTATTGTGAAAATACTGTACAGAGGGGTTACAATTACATGGGCAAGATAATGAGTATATTTCTTATCAAACATTGTAGCCTCCTCCTTTGTTTCCCCTTCCCATCCCTTCCCATCCTCTCCCCACC